AATATACGAAATAACAGTAACTTAAATAGTGTAAAAGTTAAATGAAGGACTAAATCGAAAGTATACCCTAGTAATTGCAAAAAGAATTATTAAAGCTCCAATTGTTGCTATGGCAATAAGCTGGTCACATAGTTCGAAGAATTATTTTTATTAAGAATTATTATGACGATTGAAAAGGAAGAAAGATTTCTGAGTGGCGATCCCATATAGGCAAATGTAGTATAGGCCCCTCCCACTAGATGGAGTGATGATCTCAAATGCATAGCAGGGAGTCAGTGTATGCAGGTGTTTCGGAACCCTCCTTTATGACAGTCTATGGAGGAGGTCTATTTTCAATAGGAAATAGTTAATATGTGATATGATGATGATGATGAAATAATTGCTACTCTTAATCACAATAATTATTTACCTGATACTTAAGTTAGAAAACAAGCATGTTTTTAACATGAGAAACAAAAAAACCTTCAATATAACCATAAAACCTAGACTTGTAAGAGTGGGTAATATAGAGCAATATGTATATTATGTAGTTTTTTTTGTTTTGATGGGTGAAAATGATATGGTAACCCCGCCTGCGCTAACGGGATACGCTGGCGGAGCACCAGTGAAGGGTGATAGATGAGAATGAAAACAGGCCAGTTAGCCCATCATGATGAATTCATCAGGAATTAACCATGATAGTTTCCAAGGGGAACCGCGAGGAGGTCGACCTGGTTGGGTATATTGCTAGCAATGGGATTCTCAGTCTTCATTACTAACAATCCTTTTCCCCCTGTATTATGTAGTTACAATATCTATACATATAATAAAACTATAATTACCAAAAGGAGACTGTACAAAAGTCGTTTGCTTGGGTACCTCTGTCCCATTCGTGTTTCAACCGTAAAGCAGTTGTATTTGCATGGCTGTGTTTCGGTTTGAATGGTGGGATATGGTGTGAAACCAGATACAGAGGAATAACACCTGAGTCCTCAGGAATGGCAACACGGGAGGTATCATGGGCGAAACAGTATACTCTTAGTTATGTCCATGGTACTGTTCATTGTCTATAGGTCACGGTTACCACTTTCATTCAGGTGGGCCGTCAGCTTGTTTGCCATTCTAAGTTGTATAAAAAAAACTACGGTCGTGATGAAGATAGATAGAAGATATCCAACTGATATGGATAATATCGCCATCAATTACTAGATGAACTCAATATATAGATATTGGATATTGATAGACTATAGACTTGAGCTAATTATAAAAAAAAAGAACAAGAAATAACCTCATACAAAGTTATTTCAAAGTAACACTGCTTCCTAAATTATCGAATCTGTAATTACACTAATCGAATTTACAGCTGCGACCTTTAATACAATTACCTCGCTCAAGGTTAATTCCCGACTTTTGTGTATAATTCGCATTTATTTCTAATTCTATAATTCAATAAAAATTTTATTGATCGATTTCGAATGGCCTTAATGATCGGTGCTAAGGAAACGAATGTGGAACTAATTTTATACGAACATAATCGAATTTGTAATTTACTTATTTGATTATTTTTATCTTATTTTTGTACCTATATGTTTGAATGTATTGTGAGCTCCCGGTATAGAAAAGACCACCCCTTCCTGTCTCGTAGGTGTCGTAATAGGCGATTAAGGGAACTTACAGTCGAGGGATAGGCAACAGTGTCACTTTTAAGGCATCTCCAAGGCTTATCTGCGGTTGCTAACCCGCTTGCCAAATATGGCAACTACTGACAAAACTCTCCAAAAAGAGTGAAGCCAATGTTTAAAAGTGGATAATTAACAGCTGATATCATATGGTATGTGTTTATAAAATGTGCTGGTTCTTGTTGTATATAGGTATTATTTATTATTTATATTAATTGAAAGTAAGAATGCCGTCTGTTGACTTGATGTATTGTATGTATTTTGTTCTTTTTCAATTGTTTACCAATTTTCTCTTTTATAAAAAACTATAATATATATAAAAAGGTTAATTTTGAATAGTATGTCTGAATGAGCTCAAATCTAGATACGTTTTAATTAACACTTATGTCAAATTTATATTAATTATTAAAATACCACGTAATATTTACACGAAAAAAAAAAAATAAACGAACTGGGAACTTTTCTGAAGTCACTAAAAAAAGTGAAGTCTGATAATATAACTTACGATTTGATGATATAATTGACTAAAATAACTAGTTAATATGTTATAAAATAGTGAAAAAAAAAAATAGTAAAATACATACGGTTTAAAATGTCAAACGGTGATTGAACATCTCATGCTATTGTGTAACTCATCTGTCATTACGCATAATCGTGATAACATGGAATTGGTAATAAAACAAAAAATAAAAACTGGCCAAGGACGTGACGGACATGCGTCAGCAGGGTTCTGTAGATATTAAAATGTTTCAACTTCACTATTCAAAAGTTATAAAAACTTTCGAGTTAAGGCCGAAAGAGAATAATTTGTAACTGGAAATAACAGTCTCATTACTAAAAAGTTAGTTTACTTGTAGTTTTTTTTTATATGGGTGATAATGGAATGGTAACCCCACCCGCGATATCGGTATACACCGGCGGAGCACCAGTGAAGGATGATAGGCGAGGATGAAGCAGGTCAGTAAGCCCATTGTGACGAATTCAATAAGAATTGTTCACGATGGTTTCCAGGGGGAACCACGTGGAGGTCGTCCTAATAGGGCATATTGCTAACAATGAGGCTGTCAAACTCCATTGCTAACAATCCCTTTCCCCCCAGTTTAATTGTAGTTGTCGCTGTTAACAGCATATAAAATATTACTAATTAATTTATACTGGTAAATGTATCACGATGAGCCACATCGTTTGATTTGCCTATATCGTTATATATCGTCAGTTACCTACTAGTTCGTTAGTGTAAACCAATTGACAGTAGTGAAGTTTTCATTTTTTTTTATCTATTAAAACGCAGGTTTACAACTGAAAATTACCTTTGCAACGCTTTATAGGATAGGATAAAAACCGAATAAGTTTAGTATTACCTCTATTCGGTGCGCTCAAACTCTTACTAGCTTCAACACCTCTGTTAAATCCTACTACCTCTCACTTTAGTACTATTATATTTTCCTGTGTTCTCTATTCGTTTTCCTTCGTATTTTTTTTTCTGTTGTATGTAGCACACATACAACAGAAAAAAAAATACGAAGGAAAACGAATAGAGAGTTAAGTTAAGTATATGTATGTTATGTATATATTTAATTGTGTATATATAATATATGTATATGTATGTATGTATATATGTTTGTATATGATAATATTTATATAACAGTGCACCACCTACCCTTTGTCTTTTTCTCAATGTCCTCTACCCAAAGGTTGTCTGAAAGAGATTGCTTAGCGATAAGGCCGCCTTTTGTATCACTTCTCATTAATATTTACTGTATTTGTTATTTCTCTTTTTACTTGGTGCAATAAAGTGTAAAATGAATAAAATAAATAAATATTTTGTATGAATAATGTCAAATATCATCATCCTATCAGCCATCTACTGTCCACTGCTAAACAAAGCCTCCCCCTAAAGCAGGGGCAGTAGTTTCCAGTAGTTGCCACACTTGGCAGGCGGATTGGCAACCCCAGTTAGGCTTAATAGGTTCTAAGAGGTATGCTGCCATCCATCCCTCGACTGTTATCTTAGTCGTCTCTTACGATACCCATGGGAGCGGATGGGGTGGCCCATTCTATGCCGGAACAACACGACAAATAATAACCAACGTTAATGCTGTAACTACATATGTTTGTATGTCGTACAGGCTAAACATGTCGAACGATATTATATTGTCAACATCTGCATGTATTTATACGCATGTTTTATAAATAAATAAATCTTGAAATCTTGAAAATCTTGAAATCCTTATTTAATGAATACTTTAAATTTGCATTGTAATTTAATTATATTGTTTAATTAAAAATTCAAAGCAATTAAAAAAACGCCAAAAGCGTTATCTATTTAAAGAAAATAAATAAAAAAATAATAAATAATTGAAATTAATAATTTCAATTTAAAATATATCTTGTGTTTTTTTTTTAATTCTAAGTTTTTGTTTTAGTAGTAACTAAACAATATTTTATAATGTTTTATAAAGTTATGTAAGTATCTAGAAGTACGATTAGACAGATAGATATGATGAATTAAAAATACTTACGATTTCACTATGTGTTTGAGGATGTCTAAAAACTCATTAATTAAATAAAATGATTATTCTGATTACTATTGAATTATATATATTCAAATGTCCATAAATGATTAATTATACCATATATTATAATATAAAAAACAATATTTTTTATAATTATTATTGATTAGTTTGAAAACGTAATTAATGATGAAGCGATTTAAATTTGTTAAAAAAGTATATTTTACATAAATATTATACATTTTCTATGAATCTGTTTGATTTATGTAAATTTTTGTTGCTTGATATCAAGATATTACATATTATTAATAAAGGAATATTTTTTTTAAATATAAAAATGTATAAACTTAGTATCTTAATATTGGCAGTATTTATAGGTACTTAGAGAAAGACATAATTTTATTATGCCTTTGTTACATCAATTTAGAAAGGAACTAAATTAAGTGATCAATATTTATAATAATAAGGACTATATTTATTTATTCATATGTTTTAATAAAGTAACTGGGTATGAAGTTTTATACAGAATTTCCTTGCATAACGTAGGTAGGTTCAGAATAATTCAGAAATAATTTTCCGGAATTCCCGAAATTTCTTCTAATTTCCATATCGGAAATGAATACGAACTGGAAAATAGCTATCATTAAAAAAAATATGTATTTTGACGACATAGTATTTACGCTAATTCTTCAAAACGCCGTGTTACGGCGTTTTAAAGAATTAATGTGCACATGGTCATAGCAATAAATATTACAATCATTACTTGCAATTGCAACATTATTACAGAATAAAAATCTAAATTTATTAAATATTTGCTTTGTTTCTTTAGATTCGACCAGGGCAAATCAACGAAAGGCGCAAGCAAACTACGGCGGGATCTCATCAATGCAGAAATAGCGAATCTTCGAGATCTCCTGCCCCTGCCGCCGTCCACCAGACAGAGACTGTCCCAACTCCAACTGATGGCTCTTGTCTGTGTGTACGTCAGGAAATCCAACTACTTTCAACAAGGTCAGTGCAGAATTAATAAATAAATATGTCTATGGAACAAATCTTATTATACACTAAACGATCATTAGAATGACAAATATGCATGGTGTTAGTTGATCATACATGGGCTTTAATGATCATGTAATTTTAGACATAGTACATTTAATAAATATACATAATGTAAACAGAGATTTAAAAGAATAACTGTTGAGTTTCTTGCTTGGGCTCTTCTTAACAGATAACAACTTTCCGAACACTACATTCATATAAAAATGACGATTTAAAAGTTCTTGTAAACAAGTTTATTTGAATAAAGATGTTTTAAATTTGCATTTGAATAAATTATTTTTCTACTAATTTTGTAATGTAAAAATGTGAGGTGTCGTTTCCATTATGCCCTTAATATTTGACCCACAGTCCCATTAACCTCACTCGAAATAATATAGATATATATATATAATTTATTTGCTTTACTTACAGCACACAAATAACAACAGTCATAGATGTAGTTCTAATACACAATAAAGAGATAAAAGAATACATATACCAATAAAAATAAAATAGATAAAAGAAGTAACAACTTTTTCGTACTCGTAACACAAAATGGTCACGACTCAGTTTATTATATTGCCCTCAAAAAAGCAAAACACTAATATTCTGTTGTGGTCAAAAGCAATATCATCATTAGTATCATCATTATCATCATATCAATCAAATATTTGACTCTATTGATTTATTTCGGGGACCAGTGAGACGATTAGACATTAAGAGGCAATGTTTATTTAAAATGTAACATTTAAAGGTTAGTAGCGGAGTTATGGGTTTATTTTGGATGCCATACATAATAGTTAAACTGTTTCAGTCAAATTCGAGTTGCGTTTATTAAAAAAACTAGTTACATAAATCTACCCATTAATTTATTAAAATACATAATTCATAAAATTGTTAGATTGTGTACTTTATTAAATTGTGCTCCGTAGAAAAAGTGACACATATCAATTTTTCTATACAGAAATAATGTAAAGAATTATTAAAACGGTACTAGTGTACGCCCTAAAAAATAATACTGGCCGCAACGCGAGCGAAGCAGCCATTTAATAGTATTACATGTTACCAAAAATAATAATTAACCTCGCACTTTATGACCAATGAAAATTGTGATAGTCGATATAATAAAAAAACTTACTAAAACCTCACATATTCTGTTACATCATTCATTTTTATGATAGGCCTTCGTTATCTACCGTTCAGTAGGATTCTCCTTCAAGCATCATTTAGCGAATTACCACAAGGTCGTATCATATATAAATATCGTTTTAAACACACCAAACTCGAAATTCAGCCTTGATAATAAAACGGCAAAAATCAATAATTACGTAAGAAGCGATTTTCTCACGAACAACAGTTAGTTTGTTAAAAAAAATGGCTACGTTTCGGTTTTGATAGGAAAATTAGAGAAAATTAGCGGGCCAGGACTGGCTACCGACTGATGGTTATTGGTCCTAATGGTGCCTTCAGGGTCGGAATCCTGGTCGAGTAATGTCACGCCCGGATCTCACGCTACCGGCGCTCATGACGTCTGCATCGACCGCGGACCCACAATTATTTTATACTGAAATTATACGTATTTTCAGTGCGTATCGTTGGAAATAATGTAATAAATAAATACCGATATTAAAAATATTGTTATTAAATTATATTTTAATTATATAAAATTATATTTAAAATTAGGATTAAAAATAAAATTTATATTATTATTATTATCTATGGAATAAATAGACGATGAAAAATTCATGGATGGTTATATATTTAGTTTAATTATATATTATATATATATATATATATATATATATATATATATATATATATATATATATATATATATATATATATATATATATATATATATATATATATATATATATATATATATATGTACAAATATTTAAATAAAGTTTCAAATTTTTTTAAAAGAAAATTCTATCATATTTTGTATTTTTACGCGATATCTTCGACAAGTATGAATAAATTTTATACACATACCATAATTCTTTTTTAATTGATAATATTTGTTTCTGTACTCTTCGGATACTAATTTTATCACTATTTCCTTACACCACCACTACATATCAAAATCTACCTATTTTTTATAACAATAGATAAAAATCTTTGATTGTTTCTAATATTATTTTTCTATTATATTCAGTTTTAAAAAAACTATTGTTACATATAGATAAAAACCTTTTTAAATAAGAGTATTTAAGTGCAGGGAATGGAGGTAAGAGATAAAGAGAGAGACATTTTAAAAATCTAATCATAACAACTAGCTTTCAGCAGGCACATTTCACAGTCGTTCCCAAGGGACTACCGTCGTATTTTGTATGATACTCGCCACTGGCGTACTTATTCTGCTTTCTTCTTTTATCGTCCCCCTTTCCATATGTAGTGAAACGATAATGAGTTGTTGGGAGAATGATAAATATACTGGTTATATCCGGCGGCTTTGCCTGCGTAAATTAGATATATTATTTCGAATACATTCTCTAATCTCACATTTTATCTAAATCTATACAGTCGTTTAATCGTAATTAATCATTAATAAATTAATGATACAAACGTCGAAACATCCGCACAAACTTTTATGTTTATAATATTAGTAGTTTATATAAAAGATTATATAAATTATATAAGTATAAAAAATCCTTCTAAGAAGAAGGATTTTTTATACTTTTTGTAATCTCATTATATTATTTATCGAATTATCTGATAGTGCTTATCAGATAGATTAGATATACATATTAAACCTAATATTGCTTGTGTTTTTAGTGTTGTTTTTTTAATTTTTAATTCGCAAAAAAAAAACATAATTTCAAGACAATTTAATAACTGTAAGTAAAATAAATAATAAAACAATTTGTCGCTTATTGAATACGTATCGTTCTGAACGTTGCAGAATAAGGATGCGCGGACTCGATAAACGTTCAATAGTAGAAGGATCGTGGGAAACGCAGTTTGCATATGATTTCGCTGGCAACGTTCGCCCGGAATGACGGCTCTTTGAGTTTCCAATGGTTGTTGGCCATTATTGTCTTATTTTGATACTAGTGGATAACCTCTGGCATCTTGCTACCGAAGTGGCTATTGTTTCTATTAATATTTATTACTAAATTACAATTTCAAATAATTGATTTACTTATCTTTGTGTACAAGAGAAAAAACTTTTTAATTATATTTAAATTCTAACTACTGAATATGGTATTTCAAATTTTTAACTGTTAACTTTTTAGGTGACAAGTCTTTTTTAATTTTTTTTAAGTAATAACTAAACTAATAAAAAAAATTTAGATTAGATGCAATCTATTACTACATATATGTAAAACATAACATTTGATTGACTTCATATTTTCAATACAATATAGCAAGACGCAAGTGCGTTTTCTGTATAGATTTTATTTTGTATAGCTATTATTTGTATGCACATAAGAAAAAATAGTATTTCTATTAATTGTCTAGTGTTCATAGATTTCAAACTCTGATTAGTTTAGGATTATAGCCTGTAGCGTGTCAAGGACAATTTTATTTCCTTTCTATACACATATGTAGACGGACTGACTGATATATTATCGCTGAGTCGAAATTATCAAAGCAATGATGAGTGAATTTGTTTATATAAATAAATAAAATATATATATAAGATACGAGCAAAAATATTTTAGAAATTTACCCCCTAATGGGGCGAAAAAGAAGTGCGCTAACATTGCACTAATATTTTATGTTTGTTATACCTATATGCAATATGCTGTTGGTGTTCCTTAAATAAATAACAAAATTTGTTTATTTCAACTTAACAAAATATAAACATCAATCGAATAATTACATAGTAATTACGAACGAGTTCCCGAGGGTTCCCAGTCATATAGGTCTAAATATGAAATTACGGGCATACCAACGGAATTGTCGGGCACGCACACCGCACCGCACCGCACCCGTTCCATGGATAATTTTTGCATACCACCATGAGAACTATCGATGTAAGGAACGCTTTCTTAAGTCTAATTACGTATATGATTGGTAATTTTGTATTGTACCGAACCGGTTTTCGGATTGACTATATGAGAAGTTGCCAGGGATCGAAATGTGTGGTATGTTAAATGCGTTTGTCTTTTTAGCCGATTGTCGATGGAAAGATGTTAATATGTTTAGTATGTATTTTTTGTATAACATAGGGGCAAACGAGCATGCGTCTCACCTAATGGTAAGTGGTCGAGGGTAAAGGAATTGTTAGTAATGGGGTGTAACTACCCCATAACTAGCAATACCTCCAAGTCGAACTCCACGCAGTCTCCCTTGGAAACGATCATGGTTAATTCTAATGGAATTCATCATGATAGTCTAATTGATCTGCTTTAATCCTCATCTATCATCTCTCACTGGTGGCATGCCAGAGTATATTGATCTCGCAGGCGGGGTTACCATTTCATTATCACCTATTAAAACCTGGGCAACAGAGGAATTTCGGGTGTTTTGCCAGCATTTCAAAATATCTTTTCTTGGAGGTTTCAAAGTTGTATTTATTTATTCTGAAATATTACTGCTGAGAGTTGATGCCACAGTATGTGTGTAGCATACCTAAATATGTGTATCTTCCATTCTTTGGCAAAACGTTTAGTGATGTAATGAATCGGCCTTTTTGGTATACGAGTATTTTAATACGCGATATAAAGAGAATCAAATCCTGACTTGAGTCCGAAAACTCAGACAAGTACTCCAATATTTACATGGGTTCTCGAATACTTCATCAAACTTGTGTATTTTTAAACTTATTTTTGTAATTTACTCTTAATGATAATAATAAATGTTCAGTTATTTAAAATTTTTGTCATTAGTAATTGAGAAAAAAATTACGATCATCACGCAAATAATATTCGAGTGTCGAAAGTGCTCGAATCTTGTATTCAAGTATCGTGTATCTAAGTGTATTCCAGAGGAGGCCGAGTGGTTGGTGCCCATCCCAGGTTGCA